TCAGGGTAGAAGCTGTTCCTCAGTCTAGTGGTTCTACACTTAATGCTTAGGACCCACCCTCTTTGCAATCTACATACATAATGTAGGTAAAAACATCCCTAATGCATCCATACATTTCTATGCTGATGACACAGTTGTTTATTGTCGAGCTAAAACTGTTGCTAAGGCTTTCCAGCTTTTGAAATCTGCATTCAACAACATCCAGACAGATTTGTTTCGCCTCAAACTTGTCCTAAATGCCGACAAAACCAAAGGGATGCTTTTTTCAAATAGGAAGTTGGTCCCAGCAGTTCTTCCTCTGATTTTATCCTCAAATGGTGTCCCCATTGAGTTTGTTGATTCCTATAAATATTTGGGTATCTTGGTCGACACATCTCTCTTTTAAGCTCCATGTGGAAAACTTGATAAAGAAACTGAAAGTTAAACTGGGTTTCTTTTTCAGAAACAAATCCTGTCTAACCCTGAATGCTAGAAAACGCCTTGTATCTGTGACTTTCCTTCCCTCAATTGATTATGGTGATATTATTTACATGAACGCTCCAACAAGAACCCTGCAGATGTCGGATGCTGTCTATCATGGTACACTAAGATTCATAACTGGCTGTGATTATCGTACCCACACTGTATTCACTGGTTAACTGGACATCATTAACTTCACACAGACTCTCTCACTGGTATATTTTCATCTTTAAATCACTTCTTGGTCTGTTGCCTTCATACATCTCCTCCTACATGTCTCTGTGTGAGTGCAGCTACGGAGTGCGCTCTCAGGACATTATTACCTGCAGTGTTCCCTCAATGAGGACTGAACTAGGCAAAAGGGCCTTCTATTCCACTCCTGTTTCCTGGAACATCTTACAAAAAGATTTGAAGCTCTCGACCTTGACCTCTCTAAGTGTCTTTAAGAATCTGTTGGACACCTGGTAGGGTCCAATGCTGACATGTTCCTGTTTTTAATTTTCTACATTTGTCTTGGAATCTAGCTGTTTTTTTGTTTTGTTACCTTTTCCTTTTAGCCATCCTATTTGTTAAAAAACAAACAAAAAAAACTGTACTATGCTTTTTTATAACTGTTTATTGTTGTTGCTGTTGTCCATTGTTGTCATCTTTCTTAGTTGAAATCAGGTCTCTTGTAAATGAGTCCTCGAGGCTCAATGGGATGAACCTGTAGAAAGGTTGAACGAATAAAAAAAGAAAGATGCAGCTTTACATTTTTAGCCAGCAAGCAAATGCATAACCGTAAATAATAATAATTGGAAGGTGTGTGGTTTTGGTTGATCTAAATCTAAGATTCTGATAAAAAATATATATTTTGTCCTTGCAACAACAAAAAAAAATGTAATTCTTTAAAAAGTACAGAAGGAACAGTAATGCTAAATAGGCTCTGTGCACATGCGTCCTGAATCACTTCCGCTTTGACCGGATGTCGGCATTCCAGTTTCCGGTTTAATTCCTGTATCCTGTCATCCCAGAGATAAACAACTAAAATGAGTGTTGCTGCGTCAAATAAACAAAAATATAACGTGCGTGGCAGCTTTAGATTTCAGCCGACGGTGTTTGGGTCTAAGGAGCACTGTTGTGTGCCGCTTTGCTCGTCTTCAGGTCGCTATAATAGCCGTTTGAGCTTTCACCGTTTCCCTAAGGAGACAAGCCTTCGTTTGTGCTGGCTGCAAAAAATCAGAAGAGAGGGATTTACGGTAACTCCTCACACCAAGGTATGTAGCCGACATTTCCTGGAGAATGAAGTAATTACTACAGAAAAGGGAAGACGAATTTTAGCAGCTGGGTCGGTTCCATCATTATTTGAGTGGAACAAATACAGCAGGAAGACACGAGCAGGTGTTTGGGAGCGCCGTTGTCGACCATCTAATCCAGAACCTGATTCGGCGGATCCAATTGAGGACAATGAACCACCCGTCATGGTACCTATGGTCGTGGACCATGACTACGGCGCCAGCAGAACCGTGTGTGTTGACCGGGAGCAATATCACAGCATGCTGAGAGAAATTGAGCAACTGAAAGAGCAGCTCCGATCCTGTAGTCTTCAAAAGCCGTTTGGACTGGAACGTTTTTCTACGTCACCAGAAGACATCAGATTTTACACCAGGTCAGAGTTGTAAAATCTAAATATTACGTTATGCCTCTGAAAAAAATTAATACGCTTTGAGTCATTGTATATTTTGTCACATTACAACCAAAAACAATTTCATTGTAATTTTCTTTGAGAGACCAACACAAGTACACACTTACTAGTGGAAATGAAATTATACATAATGTAACACATTATTATTATTATTATTATTTTTAGTAGTAGTAGTAGTAGTAGTAGTAGTAGTGGTAGTAGTGGTAGTACTAGTAGTACTGTATTTACAAATGATACTGAAAAGTGTGGTGTGTAAGAGTAATCGGCTCCCTTTTCTGTAACCAATATTCCTTCAGAAATAGCTTTAATGATTACAAATGGCTATGGAGTCCACCCGTGTGTAAACTAATGTCAAATACAAATACAGCAGCTAGTGACAGCCTCAGGTCGGTGAAAATAGTTGGTTTCTGTGATTAGATGACACACAGGCTGACTATTATGCCATTAGCAATCATCAGGAAACTTATGAAGACTAGAAGTTACTCTCTGATTTAAGGGGGCTGAACATTTGTGCTCAAAATAGTTTTCAATTTATAAAAAAATTACAAACCTTCAAATCATGTATAATTTTCTTTCCACTTTACAACATAAAATTTCAAAGAAAGATATTTATGTTCTTAGTTGTACCGTGTCAAAATTTGAAAACTGTTTTCACAGTTATAAATGTGGAG